TAGGCACCTTTCAACTCTATGAAAAACTTGCGTGTAACGTAAAATTCGAGGACGCGCGATGATGTGAAACACGTTTGTGTGGTTTTCCTTTTTTATTGAAAACCGCAGCTCGTGCACGGTCGATCGGATAAACCTAGTTTCTTGCAAAAAAAAAAAAGCGAGATAATCGTAAAATAGAAAACACGTGATACATTGCAGTGGCATTTTGAACTTTATACCAAATGCTTAATTGTTCTGTAAGAAAAATAAAATTAACGGGACATGGGTTGGAATATAGATGGGGTTGTCTGATGCACCTGTTGACTATCATAACGTTGCGCGCCTTTCGCGTTATGTGGATTATGTTATATTAAACTTTAACTATCTCCATGAACCTAAATTGCCTGCTTGCTTTGCTAAGAGCTTCGCTAACACCACCGTGTAGTTACAGACTATGTAATAAATAATACAACTACAAGAAATCGAAGCTAAAAGATCACAAATTTCGTCGCGAGAAGGATGACGTACTTAAAAAAAAAAAGGGAAAAAAAAATTTTGATCGATCGAAATGTATAGCGGCTACAACCAAGTGGAGCTGACATTCATGTTTGTGACGCTCGGCTGAGCGCTTTTGTGGTTTGCGGGAAGACCACGTACTGGAATTTATTCGTGTACGAGTGGAACGTATTGATGAAACGCTTATGACAAAAAGACCCTAACGGACAACTCGCCCGAAACGATGCTGTGACAAACTCATTTTAGTACTACTTGGAAAGAGAGAAAGGAAGAGACCCTCCTATGATACGACCCTCCTACGGACGATCATTGAATGAAGAGAGATTTGACCGGTTCGCACGCGTGATTAGGGAGAACGATAAAAGTACGATCAATATGGTCGGATCCGATTTACGATAGTGAGATCTGTATCGCTTGCGGATATTACATAATGCAGATATTACATAATCCCTAATCATCCTGGATCGACTGCTGATTTCTATCCTATATTTGAAAATGTTTAATCGAATGCTTTGCGAGAGAGAGATTCATAATGGTCTATTTTCAGTCTAGTTATAATCCTTTATTGCAACGTAAAATTAACTTCATTAATTAGCTTCATTAATTGATAAGAGAATGCCTGAAAATATTCCGTCGACTGTGTGTATTCAAAAAGTCGTCAGTTTCAATTTTTCTAAATATTAGATTTTTCTTAGATATTTTATTTCTTCTTGTGTATGTAATCATAATTTATTATTTAAACTTCGTTTCTCTTTCTGAAATAAAACTCATTTACTTTTTGAGTTGATTATTTAAATTTTCTTTCCTTGACTATATCACTTAATTCTTTTACCGATAATATTCAATTGAATATTAAATGCCTATGTATTAATAACATTTTATATTAATTTTTATTAATTTAAAAATAAACTTTAAGAAGACTTATTATAACTTATTATAACTTATTATAAAGAAAATTTATTTAAAACAGATATTGCAAAGTTATTCTTTTCGATTTTATTTTATTATTCTTTTTGCTTAGAAATAGCTTCTTTGCTCAAAATTTATTTTGCAAAATTTTTTCAGTATTGTTTATAATTTTAAAGCTATTAAGCATGTATTAAAACAAAAAAAATTTATCCTATATAAAGAATCAAATAATCTGTCATTAAAAAAATATGTATGCGAGTTGTGGGGAATTCTATTCACTTTCTAATATAAAAATTATTTCTAAAGTAGATTAAATAAGTTATTTTACAAATGCGTGTAAGGATACAACCATAATCTCACATAAATACAACACGAGATGAAACTATTATTATTATTAAAGAGTGCGATGCGATGGAAGGTTTAATTAGACTTACATTTTTCGTTACGTTCTAGAAGCTGGTGGCTTAATAAGCCATCCTTCGTAATCATTAATTATTGTAGTAGGAGACACGCTGGCGATGGTCTCGCGTTGATATACGCGGCATTACCGGTAATGGAATACAAAACGTGTTATCATGCCAAGTTAGAGTGAAACTTTAATGAGACTTACAGAACGCGAGAGGATAGCTCGAGAGGAAAAACGCGAAGTTACATCGAAAAAGCGACAGATATTTATATTACAAGAATTCCTCAGAAATGGCAAGCTCTGAAGAATAAGGCTTACTACTAATCATTATTATTCTTAAAAATATAAAAAGCTTATTTCGGGAGTGGTGTTTCGTTTAAGAGTTACGCAGTATTTGTATTTGTAACACAATTTCTAACAATTTTCTTTGAAATTGAATGATTTACATCATCAACCAATCAAAATAAATAATTATTTTACTAATTACTTTTACGAAGGACGTGTTAACAGCACCCGTTCGAATAAATTTAGATTTAGAAAATAAGAATAACTTACCTCCGTAATCCATGTAATTTTCGGTGGCGTCTACGAGACCGACTATCACGACGAAAAGAAGGAAAGCTGCGCAACGTTTAGCGTACATCGTGTTCTCGCGTCTCCTCTGTAATCAAGAGAACGATTTCTACATGTGATTTAATTCCCCTGATCGATTTCATAGACCTAAACGTGTTTTGTTCCGAGCATGTGCCGAAAAGGCGCGCATACGCTCGTGTCAACACGTTATCTAATCAGCTTTGAGCAAAGAGTAGTTTTCGTTCTTTTTTTTCTTTTGTCCTTTTTTTTTACATCGCGAAAATAAAAGGCTCTAACACCAACGTTTCATAATTCAAACAATGAGCAACGCGACACAACGCGATACAACGCGGAAGGCGTTTCGCTTCGCTGAAAGGCTTGCGTTTTGTGAAAGCGTTTCGTCCTCCCTGAAATATACTCAACACCTGTCGCCGATATAATTCCCCTATGGGGACTTTTGGACATCGCGAATATTTGACGAAAATGAGGGAAGATAAATTCAAGATCGCTAATGATAACAATTGAGTCAAGTGTGGCTCTCGCCGAGTTAAATAACATCGGCTCAAGAGGCATTATTTGTGTATATTATTTGTGAAGAGAACGCGGTTCTCCGAATGTTATTATAGTAATTTTATCATGGAAAATATTTCGCCAAACTATTTTTCCGCGTTAATTGAGCCACCTGAAAGTAACGCATTTCCAAGTCGCTTACGTCGCGCGAACTTACAATCACTTACATCCACTTGTTATGTTAATACAATATACATGGATCAACGTTGTTAACACTTAATGCAAACTTAAAAGTTATTTTATCGTATTTATATTAGCGTAGCACAGTAGCTTGTTTAATTGTTCATAATTATTCACAATTAAGCTATTATTTTTGGAGAAACTGCGGAGAAACGTGTGAATAATTGTTGTAATCTCTTTGGATCTTTGTCTTTTTGCTTATTACATTTCTTCATTAAATTTATTATTTTTTTATGTATAAACGATACTGACAGAAGGGTAATAAAAATGAATTATTTCTATTTGTGCAAAATCATAATAAATCGTTATAATATTATCTATTCGCAAACTTTACTTTTAAAAATTTGATATTTAAAGATAAAGCAATTTATATCTCTACTCGTGTATTATATCCTGTTTTATAATTTTATGATCAAATATTGAAAAATTTTTCACCGTCCAGATTAATATATTATTTAATATTAATCGACAAAATCTTTTAGCTCATTCGGGAGTGCGAGTTAAAGCATCATCCCTCTCTATGCTCTTGATTCTCAAAGGGTCACGTTATCGATATCGTCACGAGACCATGATATTAATGAGCTATATTTCTGTGCCAGTCAGCTAGTCAGCTAGTCTTATTACTTATATCATGCAATGATTCAAGTTCGACGCGACAAGAAGCAAAAGGAGAAAAAAAAAAAAAGAAATCAACATTGCGACGTCGCGCGCTTTCCTGAATAATTCATCGAATTATAATTAATTTTAGCCAAGAGAGCAGATCGCGAAATGTATCGCGAAATGTACGAAATAATTGATAATTGCGCGAGCGCGTGTCACATTGTAAAATTAAGTGTATACAATACGTGTAAATTTTTCACCACTGGCGTAATATTAAATTGAATGACACGCTTCGCGAGAGCGTCGCGTGAACGTGACATCTCCACATCGAAATTATCATTTTCGCGTAACTCATCGCGTAACCACCCCTATCTATCATCCCGACTCACGATGAGGGTAAGCATCGCGATCTATGTTACGAGGGGCGTATTAATCCGGAGGCAACCCCCCCCCCATTAAAACAACGCGGAAACAATCGCAGGATAAGAGGGCTTCGTCCCTGTGTAATAGCTGACACGTAATCTGTGCTTTCGTTCGTGAAATTCATAGATTTATTTACATGCGTGTCTGCGCGCTTGCAACAACAATTGATGTCTAACTTCAACAATTTGCATCAATGTTTTTTTTTCTGCCTTGGAGAAATATAACACTGTCTTCTTTCATTTTTACTTTTAACATTAATTGCACAACGGAAAAACATATATAAATATGTTTATGCTTTATTTACCAATCAAAATTATTTTACAACATAACACTAGTACATTAACTTTGATATAACTTCCATTCTCTGTGTTTCTAAAAGTTCATTAAAAATGTTCAGAATGTCAACATATAAATGGTATTGCAACTCATCTAAAAAAAAATATTGTGCGTGAATTTCTCTGAATAAAAATAACGAATTATATTATAAATAAATCATATTACAATATTCTTCTTGCAAATAAAAAGATCGACTGAAAAATATAGTATTGCTTGTTATTTTATGTAATTAGATCTAGAAACATTTAAGTTAACAAATAAAACATATTTAAAAGTATAAATTTGAAAAAAAATTAGAATTACATTTCAAATATAAAACGTAAAATATAAACCAAAGTACAGCGTGCATCGAAAAACGTATTGTTAAAAAGTATTCAATTTGTTGCGTAAAAATAATAGATAATAATAAAAAAAGACGTGGTATCAAATATTTTACTTCTATTAAATATATAAATTTGAAATTGTGTCCTCTTTTGTTATAGAATATACCGGCATAGTCGATAGTTTACATCGTTATTTATCTCGCGACAGTCCTTGATTATTGCCGCGTATGACAGAAACCAAGTTGTCGAACCCAAATTCTATTCTCCGAATACTACGAATGTGAATTTATGGCGTACGATCCGTTGATTACTTACACCGCATTGACCGAAGTAAATCCGTTTAATCGTTTTCGATGTTGAACATACACAGACGCGATTACACATCGATGCGTAATTGCGCCGTAAAGCCCATTTTAGACGCATAATTCTCGTCAGAATTTCGAATAGAATTCCATTTATATTTTTATATGTCATACAAGCAATGTTTGGAGAGTCACAAATATATTAAATATGTCGCAAAATATACACGCATTATAATAAAAAAAAAAATATAATAGATTCTTTCCCTAAAAATTTATTGGCAAAAATTGTTTCTAAATTGTTTAAAATTTAATTTAACAGCCTACTTCGCCTTTATCATCGTTTCTTTCAGGTCTTACAATGGATTATTTTCTTGAATTTTCTTGCATGTAAATTGTAATAAATTTGAAGACAATTTCTTCATCACTTTTAATAACGCAGCATTATCTTCGAAAGTTTCTAAATTTTCGTTGAATCACTTAGTAACTAAGACTCCAATCAAAATTTCGCGGAGTACAATTTTCAAGAAAATGAACTTGTGCAAAGAGTGAACAAGCTTGAATAAACAGCATAACAGTTTCCAATCATTAAAACGTATTTACCTTATTAAAAGAAAATATATTTGTGTATATATTAGGTAATTTAACGGATTGTTCAATGATATATACATATATTAAAATTGTATGAATAATAAGAAACTTCCGTTAAGGAATAAAATATTTTGTCTTTTTTGAAAAAAAAAAAGCTAAATCGTAATCTGAAAATTCCAAAGCTTCCGTAGCGCGGGCAGATAATAATAATGTAGAGAAATATTTCAGAAGTATCTCTCGCATTTTTCAATCTTGATTAATGACAATCTACTTGTCGAGTTTTCCAGGTTTACTAATTGCCCATCCTTTTACTCGAAATATATGCTGCGCAAGCTTTTAAAGAATATAAATAATTTACGAGTATCGCTGAGGCGATAGGCAAAATCATATTTCTGCTCACCCACTATTTTTTTTCCTGTAAAGAATTCTGCGCGTCACTTACATCGACTTTTAATGTATTTACTTGCTGGCGCTCAAGAAAAATAACTGAATTTGTTCCATATTCCAATGAGTATCGATAACTAAGCAGAAAAGACGATACGGGAAAAAAAACCAATTATTGCAACTCCGTCGACATCCAGTTTTCATGTAACGATAATTATCTTTCATGCTAATTAATCATTAGTCAAACGTCTTAATAAACGAACAGTTACGAAAAGCAGTTTGTTAGTTACGTAATGACAGGGCACATTGTGATTGAGTATTAATTTTGTATATCGCTTCGTATTAAATTATTTGTTTTAAACGTTGTTTTTTATACTTCTCGAGATGATTTTCTATTTGCACAATATGATATTTAACAACTTTATTTTTCTTTACAATTACTTATTATTCCACAAAGTTTTCAAGCTATTTGCTTCCCGATGACTTTAATTACACATTTATTTAACGTGCGATGGATGCGTCGCATCCACGCGCTTTTAGTCGAGAAATTTGGTAAAATGTGCTTGAAGTACGAATAGGCAGCCTTTGAGAAAAGCGGATTTAAAAATTTCTAATTTATAATTAATAATAATAATAATTATTATTATTATTATTACAGTTATTTATGAATAAATCATATATGCCCAAATTTGCGCGAATCACCTCCTTTTGTTAAATTTACTGTAATGACCGAATTTACTTTAATTAAAATTTGTAATCTGTGACAAACGTGTAACATGGAAAATGATAAGATATATCTCAAAATTAACATTTCGAATAATTAATAAGACAAAAAGTTGCTTTAAAATAAAGCATATAACATTAAAAAATAAAAATATATATTAAAAACTGGTCATGGTTAAAACTGTGAAAATATCAATAATAAAAGATAAAATCAAAAGAGCTCTGTATTTTGAAAATAATATTTAATTTAATTTTTTATAGTTTTTCAAGTTTTATATTACATTATATTATATTTATAATGGGTATAGAAAGATTTTAAACATCTGATTCGATCAAACTCCATGTAATTACTTTTACTTAAGTTCGTTTCCCCGTTACAATGTCCGAGGAAATACGATTATAAGTCCTTCTATTTAAAGCGCAAACAAATCACGTTGAATAAACAATCACTGGAAATATAGATCATGATCTACATAACGGTGGCGATGTATATATATATATATATATATATATATATATATAGCATAAAATTTTAAGTGCAAACTAAAAATCAGCAATAACAATTTATACTTATATTAAATATGTAACATATAGCGTACAATAAGAAAATAATTACAGGCTTTTAATTAAATTACTTTGTAACTTGCAAATATATATACAGCCGTTTATACAAGCCCGTATATAATCCAGCTACAAAATATCAATTTTTCTTTATCCTCTGTTTTATACCTTTGACCTACGTTAGTAATTTATCACCCATTACACCGCGATAAAAAAATAGTAATGATCGCACCGCCGGATATTTTCAATGGATTACGTACATCATAATCATGAAAGCAGAATACTTGGTTTTTATGAGAGATACAAAAGCGTTTTTTGTTTAAATCACTATTGATTGGATGCGGTAATTACATTAATTTCGGTCATTAGTTTCATAAAAATAAAAAGAGAAACGTGATTTCTAAATAAAACAATATTTAATTTTAATCTTTAGTAAATATTTGTAATATTCTTTTGTATTAATATAACTTCACAGAACATAAGATATTTTTTTAAGGTTTTTATTTTCTAATGTGTTTATATCGTATTGTTAAATTTGTATGTAGCGTCTAGATAGTTTTTTAAAATATGCAGAATTATTTTATCTATTATTTGAACTGTGCAGAGAACTAAATTATTAATTTTAAAATTACTTATATATGCATCATCATCTTGTAGAAAATATAGAAAAATGATATGATTCGATTCACTAAATGCGATGTATGAAATTCTCTCCATTCAATAATGCGACGCGGATCATGAATCTTCAAACATTTTTCAACAAGTTAGAAACATTGCACTAATTAATAATTATAAAATGTTATGTCTTTTATATGACATGTTTTTTTTTCTTTGAAAAACATGAAGCAATTCATCAATTGAGTTGCAGAAAACTAGTAGATTTGTTTACAATTGTTTTATAAATAACTGTTATCATCATTCTCCAATTAATAAAGAAAATTAAATTATTACTTAAAATGTAATAATCAATTCTATTTTTTATAAACTAAACTTTTTCATACATAACTATTGATAAAAAGATAAATTAAAATATAATAAGAAGCAGTAAAATGCATCAAGAAAACATATTACATATCAATTTATCATATATTTATCATATCTTATAAATCTTTTTAACTCAATCCGGTTTATCAGAACGTTCTTAAACGATTTATAAATTAATAAGAAAGCCATACATGCCAAATCAAACTAAAAAAAGCGAAAAGGGAAGAATCTTTAAATATTCATAGCTTTAAATATTTATAAATAATTTAACTCGAATTAGAATTCAGAACAATTCTATTCATAATTTTATATGCTATATAATACTGGAAGTATTTGAAAAATTGGAATGCAATACATATAGAACATATGTTAAAAATGTTTCTGTAAAATAAACGTATACAAAAAATACATATACAAATTTATAAATGAAAATCTATTTTGAAATCTAATGCTAATTATAATTTGTTTAGAGTAGTCTTTGAGAAATAAGAAATTAGTTACGAATTAGTTACGATGAAAATTATGTCATAAATGCAGAAATTATAAGAAACAATAATAGAAATAAATGACAAATAATAATTTACTATAATTTACTATAAATGACAAATAATAATTTACTATAATACTCGAAATTATATAAGAAGTAGTATATAAAAAAAATAATACAAAAATATCGATATATATCGAAGCACGATTTATAATAATAATTCTTTTTTTATGTAATTATTGTCTATATATGGAATAGTATTGATATCTGTGATTGCTGCTTACTGATTACACATAATTGAAATTTTTTTTATATCATAAATATAAATAATTTTGACAGAATGGTTTTACTTCACA